GCCTCCCAAAGTGCTGGGATTACAGGCTTGAGCCACCGCGCCCGGCCTTTCTTTTTTCTTTTTTAAGACAGAGTCTCACCCTGTCACCCAGGCTGGAGTGCAATGGCACAATCCTGGCTCACTGCAACCTCCGTTTCCTGGTTTCAAGCGATTATCCTGCCTCAGCCTCCCAAGTAAGTGGGATTACTTGCATGCCACCACATCCGGCTCGTTTTTGTATTTTTAGTAGAGATGGGATTTCACCATGTTAGCCGGGCTGGTCTTGAACTCCTGACCTCATGATCCACCCACCTCAGCCTCCCAAAGTGCTGGGATTACGGGCATGAGCCACTGCGGCTTGCCTGGTGTCTCTTCTTATAAGGACAATAATCTCATCATGAGGGCCCCACCCTCATGAACTCATCTCAAACTCCCAAAGGCCCCATCTCCAAATACTATCATACTGGGAGTTAGGTTTTCAACATACGAGTTTTTGAGGGGGATGCAAACGCTCAGTACATAATATTCATTCACCATCCTGGGCAACATAGCAAGATGCCCTCCCCCAAACCACCGTCTCTACAAAAATAAAAATTAAAAAATTAGCCAAGGCCAGTGGTGGCTAACGCCTGTAATCTCAACACTTTGGGAGGCCGAGGCAGGTGGATCACTTGAGGTCAGGAGTTCAAGACCAGCCCAGCCAACGTGGTGAAACCCTGTCTCTACTGAAAATACAAAAATTAGCCAGGTGCGGTGGCTCGTGCCTATAGTCCCAGCTACTCAGGAGGCTGAGGCACAAGATTCGCTTGAACCCAGGGGCAGAGGTTGCAGTGAGCTGAGATTGTGCTACTGCACTCCAGCCTGAGCAACAGAGTGAGACTCTATCTCCAAAAAAAAAAAAAAAAATTTAGCCAAGCATGGTGGCGTGTGCCTGTAGTCCCCGCTACTTGGGAGGCTGAGGTTAGAGGATGACTTGAGCCTGGGAGGTGGAGGCTGCAGTGAGCCGAGGTTGCACTATTGCATTCCAGCCTGGGTGGTAGAGTGAGATGCTGTCTCAAAAAAAAATTTTTTTTTTAATCCATTCAGATTCTCTTCCTTGAAAATATGAATGTTGAGTGAAACCACA